TGGAATATTGCAAAATAGTTTCTGAAAATGCATAAATCATCCATAGAATATGTGGATTGGCTTATTCTAATGGAGAGACAAAATTTCTGAAATGAGAGTTTGTTCTCACAGTTGGTCAAGCAGGAAGTATGAATCACATCTATGTGACTATACATTAGATCAGAAGTGAAAAAAATAATTGGAGTATTTGATAATTTCAGTTTATAACATAATAAAAACAGAAAGAGATACCATCTTCTAGATCCCATTTACATCTAGTCTATTAAGTCTGAACAGATTTCAATTGAGACTGCATATTTACAAAAGACCTTTCTCTAAGCAGCTCCTCATCAATCACTATTCTCACTTTTCCTTGAATGTCCAAAGGGGCCAAGAAAAGTAATTAATATAAATCTAAAAGCATGACTGGTGTGATAGCTTATGATTAAAGACTGTGAGAATCAGTGAAGAACACAAGAATATGAGAGATGCTGAACATGTGATATGTTGTGATAGTATAAAGATTAGCTTTAAAAAAAAATAGATATGGAAGTAGAGGAAGAAGGTAAAAAAACTAAAGTAAAAATAGGAATGCTATAGAAAAAGGAAATATCTGTCTATCTGTCTGTCCACCTATCTACTTACCTACTTACCTATCATCTATCTATCTATCTATCTATCTATCTATCTATCTATCTATCATCTATCTATCTATCTATCTATCTATCTATCTATCTATCTATCATTTATCTAAAATCTATCTATCTATCATCTATCTAATTTATTTATTTCATATTTCTAAACTGCCAATCTCTCTCAAAGAGGTATTCTGGGTGGTAAACAATATAATATACTTATTGGTAATCAATAAATTAAGCAGTGCATAAAAATGAACATTAAAATTAAATTAGAATTTAAAAAAATTAAATTATAGAATAATAACAAGCATCAAAAGGTGAAAAAGAAATATATATATATATATCCTAAGATGGCCATTTAATGATGGGAGTGTGTGTGTTCACATGGGACTAGCCAGCCTCATAGTTGTATGGTCTTCTGTGCCACTCATTCAAAGCTACAGAGTCAAATTTTAATTCCTTTAAAAAGTATTAGAAAATAAAAGTAATCTACCAATGGAATGAATGGAAAATGGTTGTAAGTTAAGAGGATGTAGAAGGTTCTTGTTACAAGGGTAAAGATTTGTTACAGAGTACCACAGAAATGTCTGCCGTCATGCTAATAGTTGATGGGGGGAAAGGATACTTATTGGAATGATGAAGTAAAAGAGACCAGATGAGAAAGAAAAGAAGTCATAGAAGTCATCATGCCTCGTGACAAAATAAGAGCAGGCAAAAGATACTGAATAATGTATATATAGAGAAAAAGATATGTTTCAAAAAAGACAATCAAAGAAAAGAAGGAACTGCTAAAATTAAGAGAAATACAGAAAACGCAAACTGGTATTAATGGAAATAAAAAGTTGTTTTGAAATGAATGAAGAAATCTAAATGAGGACATTCAGGCAACTTTTAAAAAACAAATAAAACACTTGGGATGAAATTGAAGTGAGAGATTGCTAGAAGGGCGACTTTGTATGGAAATGATAGTAATATATGATATATCAAAGAATAGAACTTAAACAAATACTGTAATATTAGTGTCCAATAAAACAATGGAAAGATGTTTCAAATCCTATAAAATGTTGAATTATTCTAATGCTGCATGTTTAAAATAGTTAAGACTGAACAACTGAAGAATAATTAAAATGTACGTAGATGCAATTTGCTTAAATAATAACTATAACTATGTGAATTGTTTGAAGTCCACATCTACGCCTGATAACTAAATGCGAAAGGTAAAAAAATGAATGTGAAAACTGCAGGGATTTGTTTAATAATTATGTCTTGGAAAGTGCTTTATTGAATTTTGAATGGGAAAGTACAAAAAAAAACCTAGTGCAGTGGATCTTTATCTCAAGCAAGGGATTTGTCTTTGAAAAGTGTATGAATGTAAGAAAGAAAATTGATGTACATTAGTTGATTTAGACAAAGTGCATAAGTGACTAGACCTGATTTAGGTAATGTTTTGTGTAAATATGCAAGAATCTAAGTCACGTTTCTGAAAAGTTGGGGTGATATCAAGATTGTTACCCATGAATTGAAACATGTAAAAAAGATTTTTATGCCATATAGGAACCAGGTTTTCAACTAATAGTTGGATCAACATTGTGGATCAGTGACGACTTAGCAATAAGGTGTGAGCAATATTGTGTGGTCTCTAGTATAAAAAATAACAAATAATATCAGATCATTGTTTGTTACTGAATGCATTTCAGTTTTGTCTGTCATTGAGATAATTTTTCTTTCTTGGCTTCAACCAAATTTCAACCATGGTAAGGGATTTCCTATTTATCTGAATAAATTTCAGTTCACACAGTCAGATGAATGATATCCTATTATGCTGAAGAGATTTTGTGATGGTTTGGCTGCAAGTTTGGTGGATGACTTTGGATGATTTTCTCTTTTAGCCCAACCATCTGACAGGGCTGTTATGGGGAAAATAGGAGGAGGAAGGTATATTGGATATATTTGCCACTTTGAGATGTTTGTAAAAATAATAAAGATGGGGATAAATAAATAAATAAATTTCTTTTGGAAAAACTTGGAGAACAATTAAGTGCTGGACAACGATAAGAGAACCTATCTTCATAAAATGAAAAAAGAGGATCCCAAGAAATAAAGATTGGTCCATCCTACATCAACATATGATGTTTCTAGAGCAGGCCATAAAGAGATAGATCTGTGAGCATCTTGAAAACTATAATTACCAAAATTCAGTATGTTTTTGTCAACAACAAATCTTGTCTGGCTAAACATATTCATGTTTTTGATTACCGATAGGTAATTTTTTTTGAAGACTGTGGGAGTAACTATAGACATATGCAGTATTGGTTTCAACAAAGTATTTGAAAAAGTAAAAATGTCAGAGGTACTTTTAACAAGCTTTTTAAGGTGTAGCATTAAAGAAAGACAACTGATAATATGTTAACACTTTTAAATACCTGAAAGAATATAAAATGGAAGGTCAACTTCTTAATCCGGAATATACAGTGGTTATATTAATTTTATATATTTTTAAAAATTGAACAAAATGATGGATTCTGACTGTTAGAAAAAAAAATCCATAACCTGTAAGAGAAGCTTGACAGTTGAACCAATTCTCAAGACAAATGGTGGGTTTTCTATTGCTGGATGTGTTTAAGGGGAAGCTACCCAGTGTAGACTGTTAGTGTTGGATTATGGCACTAACTAGGTAGTTTGATTCAATGTTCCCAATGACATCTGCAATCTGATTTTGTATTAATCCTGCATGGATTTTTTAAAGGAGGTTCTTATATTTAGTTGTGAACTTGTGGATCTTCCTCCTGGAAGATTTTTTTTCTCAATCATTTTAAGTGAACAGTTGAAAACTTTAAGTATCCAGACCATAAGCTATTTTAGGAGATAGTTTCCACCAGTTCTTTTTGTAATCAGGACACTTACAGAAAATCAAAGACACGTTGTATTATTCCATTACATAGGTTTTTTAAAAAATAGGAAAGAGTGGGTCTCTTTTCTGATGATATAGCAGCAAGGAAATTGGATTTTTTTCCCCTGTGTAGTCCATGCTATTGACGAGGATAGGAAAGTAATTAGGAAGTGTATTTTTCCTATTTCTGTCCACATCTAATTTCTGCATTATTCTCTATCAGTTCTCTGTCTGCCTATGTAAATTGAAAAATCCAGGAAGAAAATGAAGAGTAAAAGGCATTGCATTGATTTTCTTGACATTTTAACCATTCGAGGCAGCAGCAACAACAAAGTGACATTCATGATGGAAGTAACAAGGTCACAACAGGTCACAACAGAGCCTTTTGACCTAGCATCTAAACACCAATAACACAGAAGGACCTATATCTGCTAAAATAAAAAGGAAATATAATTTTAAAGATATAAACTTGGTTAAATTGAACATTTTTTAAAAAAAGCATAACTGCTTTGAGTGACCTAAACCGTGTTTCACTGAATATGGTTATTCCTATTCATGCAATATGTAGGGACAGATAAGCAATTAATTTGACTGACATTTTAGTGCAAACTAAGTTTAATGATCTACTTTTATATTTTAAGCCCATGTACAAATTGAATCTCTCATATCTTCAAAATAAATAACCTTCCAACTTTTGCAATACAATTTACACTCACATATACACACACAAAAATGAATTAGAAAAAAAAACAGTATAAAATACTTAGAGAAAATTGCTTGTAAAAATGTGGGGAAATGTAGTAAAAAAACAGACAGATATTTTAGCACAGACATTTAAAAACAACTTCTAAAGGCACTAAAGAAATGGGATGAATCAATATAAAGATATCTGCAGAAAAATGAGAGAAAATATGTCTTTTGTCTGTGGTCTGTCAGGCCAAATACCCCTTCCTTATTTTGAAAAACTTTTGGGAGAGAGTATTATATATGTCATCTTGAGTTCCTGGAAAAAATGCAGGATATAAATGCAATAAATAATTGTATTTGTAGCTAGAAAGTCTTCACTATTTCTAGTCAATGATAAATTTAATTTAGTGAGGATGCTAGGTATCCAAAGTGATGGGAGATGGATTGTCTGCAATATACTCTATTATACCTTTTCTGCTTCTTGGATGAAAAAAAGTCCTGAATTTAATCATGTTTTTCCCCCCTGTTGATACCTTGTTCTTCCATTTCCCTTAATTTCAGATTGAATCGAGAGATGTTGGAGATGTATACAAGGTTCGGATCAGCTGTGATGATTTGGTAGACTTTGAGGGCTGGCATTTGAAGTCTTTGCAAATGGAAGAGCTACATGCTAGTCAAGAGGTGAACTTTGAATGCAACTGCTGGTTCTCCCTTAGCCATAAATGCAAAGATATGGTGAAGGAATTTCCTGTAGTGAATGAAAACCAGAAAACTTTATCAGGTAAAAAAGGGGGAAGAAGTAGAATTAGATTTAGCCTCTAGTTTACTTTCTGATTACTTTTGAATTCTTTTGATATTGATATTTCAATTGTTGGTATAATTGCTTGGGTTGATTTCCAGAGTTTAAAATACTGATTTATTTTTCAGCATGCTTCATAAATGATTTATTAGTTCACTAAATACATTGACTTATTTCTTTTTTTTTTTTACAAACACATGTGTATGTCTATACATGTCTTTGTGTGGAAAGGAGAATAAGTCAATGCATTTAGTGAAATGAATGAATAAAATGAAATCATAATATACATTGTATCAGCTATCCTAATCTATGAACATTATTGTTAGTTTTCAACAAGGACCAACAGCAACAAAAAAGAACAGAGGTATCTCATATTTGTTTTTAACTTCCAATCACTAAAGTCCTTCCTTGTTACTCCATTTGTGACTCTGGGTGGCATACAACAGAGCTAAAAATAATATCTGGCAAATAATAGCTACCATATCTATTTATGATGATATCATATACAACCTCTAGTGCAGAGGCAATATATGAACAATGTCTGTGTTCAGATTAATGGAACCACAGTGGAACCTAACATTTTTTTTTCACTTTTCTTGAACTTCCCATAAAAGTTAAAATAAAGTAGAGTAGGTGACATTACAAGTTTGTTGCACAAAAGCTTTAAATAAATATGTGTGAACATGCACATGGTAAATGCATCATGGAGGTTTTCTCATGGTCATTCCAATCTTTTCTTTTCACTTCCAGGGATTATTTTTGTTGAGTATTTTGCTAGTAGGACAGCAAATGATTATAGCAATGATAATCCATTATAATATTGGCACCACTGTGCTGTTGTGAAACCATTGGATTGGTTCTGGACTATGAATAGCTTTTTTTATAGTGTTTCTATGTCCTCAATAGTGAGAACTACAGAGAAACATGGGCAGCAGGTGGCAGTTGCTAATTATGTTGAATTTTTTGCCAGGCTTTGAGGCTGAACATTTTGTGAAGTATTTGAGTATTTTTTTTAAGACACACATGCCTTTTCTTCATTGCAGATGCCATATGAAGGTATTTATGAGCTTCAAAATACAATTCTCAAATTTAGAAGGAGCTCACATCTTCTGATAAACAATATTATAGCATGATTTCCATTAGCAAAAAAAGTTTTGCTAAGACAATACAAAGCTTTGGTTCTCTTATTCTCCCCACAAATCTGCTCCAGGGTTTTTTTCTAACTCATCATAATCAGGAGAAGAATAAATAAGATTTGCATGAGCTGTTTTCTTCTCACATTTCACCAGATACTATGGACAAGAGAATCAACCTGCATTTTTGAAGTTATTTTTATTTCCCTGATAGCTACTGCAAATAGTGGACTTAAAATGGAAAATGATAAAAAAAAAATCTGAGATGGATGTCTATGGAGATTCTCAATCATCCAGGTCATGGTTGTCCCAAAGATGCTTTTCAAAGACAACTGGACTTTCTTGGGGGTTTTTCCTTTAAAAACATTTTGCTTTTCATTCATGAAGCTTCTTCAGTCCTGACTGAATGGTGGGGAATGGAATATTATTTACAATCATCTGGTCTGTTAGCTCTCTGAGAGTTGTTGAGTCCACTTGAGGGTTTATCTGTACCCTTAAATCAGAGTGTGTGGAACCTTCTTGGTACTGCTGAAAGGACTGTGTTGTAAACAAGAAACAGTTAGTATCATATACTTCCCCTTCTGTTGACAGAAGCTGTTCAGTTTTAATATAGATGACCTCTTTGACCACTCTTTCACACCAAATGGTCCTCTCTGTCCAAAATATAGCTATCCTGAATCTATGGCCATTCTGGACAGAAAAGGTCATTAGAACAATTAATCAGTGGACTGACTTGCCTCCAGAAGTTGTGGTTGTTCCAACATTGCAGGTTTTAAAGAAGAAATTGGATAATCATTTGTCTGAAATGGCATAGGGTTCTTGCTTGAGCAGAGAGTTGGACTAGAAGCCCCCCAAGGTTCAGTTCTGTTATTCTGTTATTCTGAACATCCCACTCTGAACAGAAGGGGAGAGATACAACACCACCTATTTCCTATCTACAATACAATACCACCTATCTCTTGTTCTATCAGCAGTCTCTAGAAAGTTCCACAATCATTTGCACTCTGATTCAGGTGACCATGGGGGTACAAATAAACCCCCAAGAGCTTCAATGATTCTCAGAGATCTTTTCATGCCCCCATTGGAATCTGAATCTGTGGGGGAAGATGAGCTGGAACAAGAAATGCCAGACATGGAGAGGGTGGCTCCATTGGCCTTGGAGGAAACTGGGGAAGGGCAGAGTCAATCCAGGCAAGGTTTTTCTAAGTAGTAATAAGGCATGCAGGGACAGAGGAACAGAGGCAGGAGGAACATGAGGGACAGAGTTCAAGTGAGGAGCTAGGACCACTCTCCTCCAAGAGCTTGGTGAGTGAAGAGGAGACATGATTAGCACAGATGGAGCAATCTACATGTGAGGAGAGTGCCCCACTCATCTTCACAAGGCACACTGGGGGAATGAGATGCTGTGGAGAGGGGCATTTGTTGGAACAAATGCTGAGTTTCTGAAGTGTGCGTGCTGACTCTTGAATTGGCCAAGAGTCCTTGCATTCCTATTCCTAAAAGCATTCTGGACTGATTACCTGGCTCTTTTGTGACTTGAACTCCTTGATTTGCCAAAAAGCTTTGGATTTATTGCTGAGCAGCCTTGGTGCAGCCAGTGCTGCCAGAAGCTTCCTGAGGTTTGTGTGGGGTTTTGTTATCATTCTGCTCAAGATTTGCTAGAAATGTGGGAGCATTTGGGGAACTTTGGACCAATAAAGGGGTGGTTTGAACTGCCAGCTGTTTGTGTGATTCTTTGTACCATGCCCTGGGTCATCACAGAGTAACAATTGGTGTTCAGAGTACTAATGTCTAGATGACTGAAAATAATATAAATACTTCCATTATCCATCATTTGGTCAGAACTGAAGAAGCTTCTTGATGAGAAGCAAAACATTTTCAAGGAAAAAAACCAAAGTCCAGTTGCCTTTTGAAAGTCCAGATGTTAAGACATCTGAAATAGATCAACAATGGGGAAAGCTCAGTAACATATCCAGGGACAGGGTAACAATACCTAAATCATATAATGTGGGTTAGAGAAGAAAATAAAACTGCTTTTGTGCAATGTAGGATATTTCACAGAGAAACCATAATCAGGGTTTCATCAATCACTCAGTCCAAGATACCAACAGCTAAGAAACTTCAAGCCTCAAAAAAGACAGAACCGCTAATATTTTGGATGGAGGAAAATATGATTGTAGGATTCTTTGCTTAACTTCAGATCTCCTAATCCATTTGTTGGAGAGAAACAATTTTATAATACTGTAGTACAATAATTTTCTAATTCTTCATTTCAAAATGTTTGATGGCAATATTTGGCTACCATTCCAATCGGTGACATTCACAATTTTGTTTGAATTATATACTATATTTGAATGAAAGATCCCTGTTTTCTTTTGAGTATTTTTTGTTGTTGTTGAACAAAGCATATTTTGTTAGCACATTGAAATAGGTACGTTTTAACTGTTTTCCCTACTCTACCCTTCCCCTCCCTTACTCTTCCCTTTTTCCTCTCTTAGGCTTTCCTCTCTTTCCCTCTTGGCCTATGCTAAGGCCTGTTTGTCTTTTTGTTGTACATAACTTGTAGTTGTGTTGTGCTTTTAAAGGTAAAACTAATAAAGTATTTTTCCAAAAAAAGAAAGAAATAGGTACGTTTTTATGTTTGTGTGTGTATGTGTGTGTGTGTGTGTGTGTGTGTCTGTGTGTGTGTGTATTAAAGCAATGCAGTGCAATGAGCACTGTTCATCTAATATTGCTTCTTTTTTCAGTACACAAATATGTAGTCTCTGTACACACTGGAGATCTCTGGGGATCAGAAACATTTTCAAATATTTATATAACAGTTTATGGTGCACAAGGAGATACAGGTGTACGGAAGCTTCAAGATTCCTTTATTGAAGGAGAAAAATTTCAAAGGAACAAGGTAAAGGAGAAAATACCTACCTTATTTAAGAGACAATAATAATAAAAATACAATAACAAATATTTGAATAAAAATAAGTATTAGTCTCTTATATTCATGTAGTTACTTGAAGTTTGTTACATGGGGAAGAGCAAATATTTCTTTCTTCCTGTTCTATTGTAGGCTGGGCGCAGCAGGGGTATCAAGCATCATTTTCAAAGGAGAAAATATCATGAAATGACAGGGCAAAGGAAAGGAAAGCAATCAGTTTTGTGCTAGTCCTATTGAATTGAGCATCAAGCAATCAAAGCTAATAATGATTGGGGAGTTTGTCACAGACTTTGATGAGTTTAATGAATTGATCTAGAACTCAAAACAGCTCTTCAGATTAGTTTTTCTGTATTATTAACCCAGCAAAGCAAAATAAATCTTTTCTTTGCAAAGGTTGCTTACAACTGAGTAGCCATTTTCTGTCCTCTAGTCTCTCTCTCTCTCTCTCTCTCTTCCAGCCTCCCTTCCCATGAGAGGCAGCAAGGGTAATGATAGACTTAAAATGATTCAAAAACTTGAGTTATTTTCCTATGAAAAACCATTGTAAAATAAAGCATTCTTTACTATTACTCTTTACTACATGTCAAGTTTTTGTTTTCTTTTTTGGCAGTCTTGCCTTGTTATGTGTGTAGATTAGCATGTCAACTAAATGCAAGTGTTGCAACTTCAAGGCTATCCTTTTTTTTTTTCTTACTTAGAGATTGGAAAGCAATAATTATGCTGACTGGCATATTTTCTCCTAAAGCCTCAGTCTCTTGCTCTGGCTGGCAGATGATTTCTCACTCTCTTTTCTTTCTGTGAAAACTGTCGGTATTAGGTAGTTTTAACTCCCAATGTTCCTCTTCTTTCTTCCTGAACTTTCAAGTTCTCCCTTCAACTCCCTGATCAAAGTTCCTTGAGTTGCTTCAAGAGGTTTGCCCTGGGATCTCTTAGAACTAACAACAATCCGTTCATAAGAATCCCCATAGTAGTTCATTGGGCTTTGTTTGTCATTTTTATTTAAAAATCAACATGTTACGTTAACTAATATTCCATAGATACTTCTTGAGTTCTTCAGTTGTACACTGAACCCCCACATCACTGAAGCATTTGGCTTGAGTTAAATGGACTCTGGGGATGGTAGAGGACAGGAAGGCCTGGAGGAACATTGTCCATGAAATAGCGATGGGTCGGACATGACTTCACGACTAACAACAACATCAATTCCCTCACAAAGTTTTTCTTGCTCAGTATCATTTTGATACTCTAGGAAAATGCTTTCCATGTGAAACTACTGTATTTTATAACTCCTATGCTCAGTTTCTATTTGTCTGCTAATAAAAACAGACTATTTAGGTAGCACCATAACAAATGGATCAAGAAACACAAACTTTTGCAGGCTATTACATGGCTATTACATCAGAAAAGGAAACTTTTAGATTTGTCTTTGATAATGTTAGACAAATCTGGCTTGGCAACCTGATGCTTCCAAATATGAGTAGACTACTAAAAATTCTTAACAGGGCACATCAGTTAATTTTCATAAAACTCATCAATCTATATAACATTGATTGAACTGTACTCCAGTCATTTCATACACACAAACATTTTCACTTTCACATATATTCTTTACTAAATTGTTTTGTCTTTTTTACATCCATATTTAGTTTTGGTTTTCTTTTCAATTTTGCACAGAATAACCATTTCCCAATTTCTGTCTTATTTTATACTTTCCTTTCCAATTGACATCTCCTATAGTTTTTCTTCTAGTAATGAAATAATAGGTTTGTTCTTCTGTGTATACCAGAATTACAATCTTTCAGGTTTCAGCAATTTATTTTGTTGGAATGATCTATTCAGCATAAGTAACCATTTGACGAGTTGCACCTTACATTAACTGTTAAGATAAAATTTCTGTTGAAGCTCTCTGGATTTAAACATTGAATATTATTTGATGTGATTGAAGATTCAATATCTAGAAGTATATTAATTATATTTTTATGAAGTGTACACATTTTGTATGTAACTCAAATTCATTTTTACAGGTGGATTCCTTTTTAATAGAGGCAGTCTCTTTGAGCCATTTAAAAAAGATAGTTGTAGGACATGATGGAGAAGGCTATGGTGCTGGAATATACTTAAAAATGGTAACCATTAAAAAATCAGAAAATTCTGAAAAAGAATGGGTGTTTCCATGTTGGAACTGGCTAGATACTCATATGGGAATCTGTGACACTGTTTGTGAGATTAAAACCATAGGTAGGTCCTTTTATTAGCTAATAAAGTTTATTATAGCTTGCTTTCTGATTTGGCTAAATATGCATACAATATTGATATCTATAGTTTATCTCCAAGACTCATAAAGAACAATTGATTTTAAATTGAGAAAATTATATGATAGCAACCTTGATTGTAGATTCTGAGATATGATAGGAATATCTAAAATACTACTTTATTTTTCCATTGTGTCAAATGAGCTTTTCCTTTCAGCATTGGTAGCCATAATTTTATAAAGACTAGTATCTCATACAGCATGTTCCTATTTATGTCCTGATTTCAAGTATATTTCATTGGACCCATTTGTTAGTGCCATCTGTCATTATTATTATTATTATACCAAATACTATTTGCAGATGATACAGTTTGACGAACATGCTTACTTGAATGAGAACAATAAATTAGGACACTAAAGAATGCTGTCCATTTCTTAATAATTATCTTTAGGAAAGAGAGTGAAACCTAACTGATATCAATTAAGAGTTCTAAATCTGAGATTTGAGATTGATAAAATGAGAATTACATGTTAAATCTTTAAAGAATAACTGTTTATCTATATTGATGAGGTGTTATTCATGAATTGTTGTCATGGTTATAGCAAAAAAAACCACCTCATCACTGTTGTATAATTCTGGCAAAATGAAGCTCTTTGTTTAAGTCCTATTGATAACACATTAAGAACCTGAATAATTCTTTGAAATCAGTGGAATTTAATAATTAAGTAGTAATAGTTGTCATTATTATTGCTTTAATTTCTAGGTAAAAGAAGGATCTCTTCTTCAAGATATTCTCCAATTAATCAGCAGATTTCAGATTTATGGATAATGGATATTACCGGATCTGAGATAAATGCTGAAACTGATCCAATGCATTTTACTTTTAACTTTTATGGAGATAAAGGTCACAAGAAGTTGGCATTGCAACTTTTAGGAAAGACAACGCAAATCAAAGTAATGTGCCTGTTATTTTAGACAGAAACAAAAAACCAGTCATGGATAAAAAAGTCATGTATTATATGTTGATATAAGTGTATTTCTTCTGCATCTGGGGCTCGATAAAGGAGAAAAATAATGGTCTAAAAACTGAAACTGCTCTATATACTAACATTAAATCCTGCAACTATTTCTTTGGAGGTAATTCCTCTGAGAAATAATATTTTTTAGGCAATGACCTCAAAAATGTTGGCACGTGAAATGATGAGTTATTAAAAATAATAGTGACACAGTTTGAATGAAGTCACATTTGTTTTTCTCATCTCAGGATACAGTGGGATAAAGTCAGAGTTCTGGTCATAGCTTTATTGAATGTTTCTTCTAGTATTGACTCCATGTAAATTTTCTCCTATTGCAGAGTTGAAAGCAGCACTCTGAACAACATTAAATAGTTTTGTCTAGCCACTTCAGAGCAACACAATTTCAGGGACATTGTGTAAGATTAAAACAACAGTTATTTTAATTCTCTATCTTTGCTGAGTGCTAAGCTAGAAAAAAGAATGCTGTGCCAGGAAGGAGAAATGAACTCCTCATTTTTTTTTCAATTCTGACAACTATCTAAGAATGTATGATTAACGGATATTAGGTTTCATCTATTTCATTTATTTTTTAAAAAAAACATATAGCATAGGTATAGGTACAAGGAGTATGAATAATTCCCTTGAATTCTTACTGTTGTTGCTGCATTTAGATGGCATCTCATAAAGTCAATGGTTTGCTGACATTAATGTTTGCAGGCCTATAAATGATACATCGTAAATCAATGACTCCATAGTTTTCTAATAAATTAAAACAAATTAAAATTAAGATGTACTGTAGTTTAGAATTATCTGAAATAATTTGCATTTAAACTAAAATAAGCATAACCATTGTGTAAACAAAACAGAGAGTTTCTGCTGCTGGTCCTAAAACTTATATGTATATTATACCTCTCAAATATGTAAAAACTTTATATTTTTAACATCACATATATGTATATCTTGCACAATTGCTTTGAAATATTCTATAGGAGGAATACTAATTTTCTAATGTTTATCAAATTAAATAATTAAAATTATATAGTTAATGTCCATAAAATAGCCATGTGAATCAATATAGAAATATTTTTCCAGGATTTTAATATCTAATTCAAATGTCTGTAGAAGTGCCTTTTTTCCCTACATTTCTTTTTTTATGTAGTTAAGGGAAATTCTAGGCAGTAGCTTGAAATTATTGGTACCTGAAATAAAACTATCGATAAATTAAAGCTTTAATTTTGATTTTATTTCCCCAAATAAATAGGATGAATTGACAAATGTTGGGTCGCTTTGGAAGATTCAGATATCCAGTGACCATGCTCAACTAAAGGAGTCCTGGCATATGAACATGTTGCATATGAAGCATACAGATACAAAACAAGAGATATGGTTAAATTTTGATTATTGGTTTAATCCCAGTGAAGACACCTGTGTTGAACTGCCAGCATTTTTTGCAGACCAGGATCCTTTGCCTGGTAAGATAATTTTGTTTTTTTTTTAAACAGAAGCTTAAAATATTTCATAATGATGCATCCTGACTGAATAAAGGTCCAAAGACTTATCTTGACCTGAGATTGTGAAATGATGGATGTCACAAGTCCCCGAAGTTTTCTTGGCAAGATTTTCAGAAATGGTTTGCCTTTGGCTTCTTCCTTGGTCTGGAAGAAATGGCCCAGTCACCCAGTTGGCTTCATGCCTGAGACAGGACTAAAACTCACCATTTCCTTGTTTGTATCCTGGTATTTAATCACTACACCAACCTGGTTCTCTGCACATATTATAATATTATCTTTATTCCATGAATTCAAAGACGAAGCCATAAAGCAATTGTCTAGTTGCAGTGTTCAAAAAAATCAGATGCTGAAAAGAACACTTTTCAAAATAACTAACTTTTGCAACAACCAAAATGGTCATTCTGAGAACACGACATGCAGAGTATCCCTAGTCTAAACCATTTTAGCAGGGAAGTCACATCCTCCCAATGCTTCTATATTTCATTATACATCTATTATGTGGATAAATCGGTTAAGTCTACTGATCCAAAACATTTATTTCCTGATACAAATGTTATAAAGCTGATATTGCAAATCTCAAACTTGGAAGTAATCTTGAAGACTATTTGGTCCAACCCAGTGGTGGGATTTAATTTTTTTTTACTACCAGTTCTGTGGGTGTGGCTTAGTGGGCGTGGCAGGGGAAGGATACTGTAAAATCTCCAGTCAGAGGTGGTGTTTGCCGGTTCTCTGAACTACTCAAAATTTCTGCTACGGGTTCTTCAGAATCTGCTGAATACCACCTCTGGTCCAATCATCTGGATGCAGAAAATCCAGAATTCAAACATTTACAACAGATGACCATCCAATTTCTGATTGAAGATCCTAACAGAAAAAGGGATCACCATTCTCCAGATGCAGATTGGAATTTTATTTTACAGATCATTTGAAGCAAGCAATCTCATAAACTAAGAGAAAATAAAAAATAATTCCTGATTCCACTTCCACAAGTCCTTTGCCCATCCATTTTGTGTTATAGTCCAGTCTGTTGCAGCTCTTAAGTCACCCCATCAGCCGTTGCCAAATATTTTATACTTATACTTGTCACCCAAATAGTCTCACTATTGTCCTGAATGATAAACTGCTGCTGTTCATGATATTCAGTCACAATGTTTACTCCTGTAACTTGCAATAATTAAAAGTCTTCCATTTTTAAAAGAATATGTTTTGTGAAGTAGCTTCTTCATGTTTCATCCATAATACTCCATTCTAAAGTAAGTATATTGAAAACAAGCTGTGATTAATAATAATATTTTTTCATGATGTACATCATGATCAGTTGTATGTAAAAACCTAGCTCTTAATATGAGTCAGACTCCTTCATATTTTAATTTTGCAGTGTTAGTGCTATATTTCTTAAGGATTTTGTTCTTTCAAAAAAAAATCATTCACACCTACTAGTAAAGTGATTCACAAGATACCACAACCATTAAACTGAAGAAGAAAATCAGAAGCCTTGAAAAAAGTGGTCCAAAATATAATTATCCTAAAATAAGTTCTACCATGACATAGGGGAAAAGCATTTTGAAACTTCTACCCATATATTGAAAAGTCAGTACATTCAGTTTAGTTGGATATTCTGAGAAAAAGATTCTAAATTAAAATTGCCACTTCACTGGCTACTTTGTTTTTGGTTTGTTTATCTTATATTATATACATATAATTCCAGACTTGACACATTTTGAATCGCTTTTAAAAGTTTAAATGTTGCAAATTTTAAATTCAAAATGAGAAAATATACTGTATGCTGAAGATAATCTGTAATTGGAAATAATACTGTATTTTATGTATTCAATACTGCACTGTATTATTAAAAATCTTGCATTCTCCAGTTTCGCCCAAATGTGTACTGCATTACAAAAAAGCAGGAAAAACGAAATGTGAAAATTAGTTTATTGAAACTGAACAACATCTGATGGCAGAGCTTAGATCTTTCACTAAGACATCTATTTTTCCACACATCCAATTAAAAGAAATAATCTGCTGAAGGAACACATAGAAATTTGGCACAGGGTATGTGTAACAGCTTTTAATTTGTGCACATACTGGAGCACATATCTCTAAAATGTGTGCTGTGGCTTGCTTGCATAGCATCAGAACTACAAAGTTCATATTGCCTAATCCCCCCCTCCTTTTAATGTAAACAAAATCCCTCTGATAATAAATTATATTTATCTTTTGCACTTTATCCATATTAATAAATAAATAGCATGTAAATAGCATGGAATGTCCATTGCCCACAGCTATGTCTGTATCTCTGTAAGACTTTTATCAAGATCTCTAATTATGTTCCTCATTAAAAGCTAATAATGTCTACTAGACCAGCTTTCCTAATATGTCACTGAGGTGCTACTATTACATATCTTAGTACTCATAGTCCACATCACTATACCATGGTTTGAATGAGTCTGATCTTTGTGTGTGTGTGTGTGTGTGTGTGTGTGTGTGTGTGTGTGTGTGTGTATGTATGTACACACACATTAAGACTGAACTATGCACCCTGACTAAAGTACTGACAGCCAACGGCTTCCACAAAAGCAAAATCACCAGCTTGATCCACAAAAACACACTGAAACATAATAGAGACCCAGAAGATGAACAGACCTATGGAAAAGCTGTCCTGCCCTACATAAGAGGTACTACAGACAAAATTAGTAAGGTACTACACAGACATCACATCAAGACTGCCTTCAAAACAGACAGAAAAATAGCAGCCATCCTTAGCAACCCCAAAGATAAAATTGACCTGGAAAACCAAGGCATATACGAAGTCCCCTGTGCATCATGCCCAGCCACATACATTGGACAGACCAATAGAAGAATAAGTACCCGCCTGGATGAACACAAAAATGCAGTCAAAAAGCTGGAACACACTTCCTCACTAGTCCAACACATGGAAGC